TGTCTCCCACCTTTTCAATCAATTTCTGTTCTTCTTGTTTGGCTTCTCTCAAATACCTTCTACTCTTCTCTTCTTTCTGTTGGACACGTCGTCATCTTCATTTCCTTCATGTGACCATCGTGTATTGACCTGCTTCTCATCCCTTGTATTTTCAATTTCTTGCTCCTCCATTTCATTCCCGCTTGACCAAGCTTCATATTCCTCTGAGTCACTTTGAAATAAGGGCATGAAGTCTTGCTTTAAAGAGAAGAAGGAATTAGTAAACTCTTCCTCTGTAAATTTAACATTGTAAATGCACCCATTAATCTTGATTTGTCTTGTGACTAATATTGTATTCATAATCGGAGTGGATATTAAGAATCTAGCAATGTCGAATCTCTTTTTCTTGCTTGTGCTATCATCTAAGCAAATAAATTTCCCCCATAAGCAGCTTATATTTGAAAAGAATTAAGTTCCCCAGACATTCAATGGTGCTCCCTGACATCTGATCCATACAAACCTCTCATTGGCAACCAATTCTAGTGTCCATGGGCGTACCTCTTTGAACCATTGCCCTAACCAATCCGAAGCCATCTCCACCAGATCCTTCAATTCCTCTTTATCCTCGCAGTCTAGCAACACCAATCTGCCTCCCATTGCCCGATTTTGACATGAGAAATATCCTTTCATAAAAAATTTCTCTTGTAAATTTTGAACCATCTCAATAGAATGCACTTTCCCCACGAAGCAACCATCTAGCCATGCGTAATATTCCAGTTTGATGTTAAATTCCATTCCTACCCACTGTCCTCCCTTTCTTCTCCCTTGCCATATTTTCTTGGTTTCTACTTGTCCATGGCAGACCTTGGTTTTACTTCTGGATCTGTTTCTTTCTTGTCTCCTCTGGTTTTTTTTACTCTATGTATTCTAGTCCTCTTCTATTCTTTTTGCTTGCGTTCTTTTCAACACCTCAGCATAGCTTTTGCTTTGAGCTTTTGTTACCACCTCAACACTATTTCTTCTTTCCCTGATTTCACTCTTTTCATCATCATATCTTAGGCTATTTACCCATAATTTTTGACCCTCTACCCAGATCTGGTCCAATTTTGTTTCCAGCTCCTTCTTGTCTTTAACCTCTAAAAATCTCACAAAGCCAAACCTGGTTCCATTCCTGCTTTTCCTATTTGGGCTATAGAAATCATAAACCTTTCCAAATTTCAAGAAGGTTCTCCACATATCTACATAACTCCAATCCTTCGAAAAATTGGTAAACAAATAAGGTGTGGCTTGTTTGTATAACCCCTTATCATACCCTCCTTCTTTTTGCATCCTCCGAACTTGATGTTGCCCATTCTGCACTTGCCCCTGTCCCCCTAGCTCACCCTTCCTTGGTCGGCTTCTTCCACAAGTTCTAGCACGCTCTCAATTCAGTGTCATCCATCTTGCTCGTGAACGATGTCCGTCACGTTCCCTTCTCACTCTCTCTCTACCTCTCTCTCTCTCTCTCTCTCTCATGTTTTTTAGATTTCAATCCTCTTAAATTTGTCAGTTAACAGTTAATTAATAGTTAATTAATAGAATTAATAGTTAATTAATAGAATTAATAGTCAACTAATAAAACTAGCAAAATGTTACAAAATAAAAATTATTTTTTTTAATTTTAATAGGTGATGGACTAAAAGTATCATAATATAAAATGAGAAACTAAAATTTATAAATCTAATAAAATAAAAAGTTAAAAATATTATAATAAAAGATGAGCAGTTAATACCTTTAAATTTGATAAATAAAGGACTCAAAGGACTCAAAGTAGACTTTTTGCATGTATATCAATGCTGATTCGATGGGGATTCTATTTCCCCGAGACTGATTGTTTAAAGCATCTCCCTACACCCCCTCTCCCAAAAAAAAAAAAAAAAAAAAAAAAAAAAGGAGTTTTACGGTTTTACACTTTCACTCTATATATTCTGATGATACCTTCGACTTTAAAAAAGTTAATAAAAAAATATTTTTTCACGACTACAGTCCAGGCATTGCAAGTGCAACCACAACCCACAAACAATAATTAGTTACCCCACGTATGTCTAGGTATTTCTGCTCGAAGCTGGCATAAGAAATAACTTTTCATGACTACAGTCGAGGCATTGCAAGTAAGGTTTTTAAAATTGGATCGAACCGGTTGGTTAAATCAGTCGGATCGATACCTGGTAATGAAAATGGTTCGATTTATATAAAAAAATCATTTGAGGTTAAAATCGGTCAAAATTGGTCAAAATTGGTCAAAAATCATTTAAAATCGGTTAAAACCAGTGAAACCGATGGAACCGATAAAACCAAAAAAACCATCGGTTCAATTTCTCATGCAATTTTCTTTCATTTTTTCCAATTTCACCCTCACCATTCCTTTTTTATACTGATTTTAATCCTTAATTTTAATAAAATTACAAAATTATCTGCCTCTTTCATCAAATTTCCCTTGTTATTTAAATCGATCGGTTCATCGATTCAACCAGTTGAACCAATCAAACTGAAAACCAAATCCGAAAACGGTTTAATAACTGATCCGGTTTTAAAAACCTTGATTGCAAGTGCAACCACAACCCACAAACATTAATTAATTAACATTTGACCTGAATTTTTGATTTATTTGATAATTTAATTTTTTTATTTAATAAAATAAAAATAAAATAAAATCATAAATTTGGGTGAAAATATTATTTATATAAAATCTTAAATTTAATTT